GAAATGATATCGTGAGCTATGAGTTTAAGCCATGACGTGTAGTAGTTTTGAAACTGCGTGGTGCAAATCTGACAATAGATTTGAGAGGATTTATCCAAAATTCATATCCAAAATTATGAGAAAACGAATGTCATCCATAGAGAGAGAAAGAGAGAGAGAGCTCGCGTTATGTTACCCCTTTCTCACACAATGCAACATAATTTTTCCTAATTTTCGATAAGATTTTCAAGCATTATTTAATACTTCGGAATTTGCGGTCATACTACTCAATATGCTACAACCCACAATGGACCGGTTTCTTACAAATCGACGGTGTGAGTCCCAGGTCCGGATTTAGGGGGTGGCCACATGGGCCGCGACCCATGGCGGCAAATTTAGGGGGCGGCTAACTATGTAATTTTTTTAAATGTAGATATAGAAAAAAAAATAAGATTCAGGAAAAAATTACAAACGAGAAACGGCGACAAAATATCTCATTTCCTAGGAGTATTTACTTTCTAATTTCGTCGTCTTTCGGTGATACAAAAGACTGCGCACCTTTAATGAGTCAAGTTATAGGAGAGAAACCAAACACGCAATTTGGCCTGGAGCGGCGCGGCGCAGCGAGCAATGATGACGAGGACTTGAGATGAAAATAAGAAGCTCTCGGCGCAGTGGTCGGCATGTAACACATGTTAGCGCCTACAAGACTGCATGAATACTTCACGCATTGCGTCAAACAAAGTGCGGTCAACAGCGGTCGGCAAGAAACGCATAGCGCCTACAAGGGTGCATGAATACTGCACGCATTGCGTCACACAAAGTGCGGTCAGCGCGGCGCGGTGGCGGAAGTTAAAATTATTAAACCACATTTATATTTGTGCTTTCATAATTTTTTGTCCACACAGAGATGGGTTTACGGAACTGAACTTTCGCGCAAAGCTCAGTGAACTTTTGCCAGTAGTGCTGACAGGGCTTTCGAAAAAAAGGTGTCCAACACGAGTGAACGCGTTTTATGCACCCCTCCTCCTCCGGCACGTTCACTTGATGGTTTTTTTGGATGTTTCAAAACGAATGATAAAGGGGCGGCAAAATACGGGCGGCCCATAGGCGGCAAGTAGGTAAATCCGTAACCACGTTATTCGTACGTTACTTCTCGAAGACAAAAATTGTTTGGCCGCGCATTGCAATGATAGATCTAATCTACAAAACTCTCAGATTGACAGGAAACTTGCCTCTCGGCATCGAAGAGATGATTCGTGTCACAAGCATCTTAGGCTAAAAGACATACGTTTAACATCATCGCACTCGATAGTTGCTACGTGGTTGATTTCGCGCGACTAACTTTGCGTCGCGCACTCCTTGTGGAACCGTGGCTTGATAACCAGTTGCGCACGTTCAAAATCACCTACAATGTGCGGCTACCTTAAATTACCTCCTGACGGGTGCAGAGCCTTCCGTTTAATTTACATTTTAAGGTCATCGGTGAACTGAGAGAGCAAAAAATGAGTTGATCGTAGAGTATTGCGATTCAAATCTTCAAGGAATGCTACGATGGATCACTGGTCAGAGTAAAAAATACGTGCTACAACACATCTTTCTTGGTCAAAATTTGACGAAGAACAGGGCGGTTTTATCAAATATTTTCAATTGCTCTTTTATTTAAATTAATAAAACTACAGTAGCATTTCTATTGCTCGCAATGATATCAAATCCTTTTCGTGTGGAGGAGAGCAATAAACTAACCTCAGCCGGATTTGCGATGAAATCATTATAGCGGCTTCATTGTACGCGAAAAATTTACTCAGATTAAGGTGGCATAAAAGCCGTAGCGAAAAATTTTTCATGCGAAAGGGGGTCTACGGTCAAAAATTATTGTGGGGGTTCGAAGGTAAAACATTCCTGAAATTCACGAAAAATACTTTTTTGGGGAATGTTCACCAATCATGGCGGGAGATTCGGGCCCCTTCCCACTGGTCGCACGCCAATGGGTGCCACCCACGTCCGTTCATTTCGTCGTATTCTACTCGCGCCGTGTTGAAATTTTAAAACCATCGCTTCATAATCAAAGTCAGCGTATAATTATGCGAAGTGTTCTACAGAATTATTTGAATCCAGGGCTCCTGAGCACATACACATGTACATAAAGCCCAATTCACACTATCAAACTTTTCATCCGACATAATTGAACGAAAAGTTGGGTGGAAAGTTGAAAGAAAAGAAATTGATTCAATTACTTTTCGTTCAATTTTCCATTCAATTGGCGCAGCTGAATGTGACGTCACATTCAAGTTTCCGTTCAATTTTCCATCAAATTGTCGATTTCTCGGGTCGGTATCACACTATCCAACTTTTCATGCGACAAGTTCTATTCAAAAGTTGAATAAACAAGTGTGAATTAGGCTTAAGTGCCTTAGGATCCAGACATTTTCAAACAAAGGAGGATCATGATGAAACCAGGAATTTCAGTTCTATGCCATAATCTGAATACACGTCATTCCGAGGGTTTATAAACTTGCGATGTATGAGGGCACGTTTAACTCGGACTGCAGTCTGCTTTGCTTGGCATGCGTTTATTACGACATTGTGTTGGGGGGGGGGGGGGATGCTACCGATAGGGGCGTGAAAAGGAAGCATCGAACGCTTAAAGCTGTCACATACACTGCATTACGCCACTACGGCACGCAGAAGCTGCACAGGTAAGTACAACGCACGAAATTCGCCGGCAAGGTAGACAGATCGTTCATCGTGATCGCATCAGCACCAAACTTACGCTCGCTGATTTTTGTTGTTAATAAATTACAATACTATACTGTTCTATTGAGAAGCCCAGTATGAAAATTGGGGGTATTTCCAGGTACTAAATAGATTTTAGGAGATAACTTCTCCCAAGGACTGCTCACAAATGGTAAGTATAATTGCTGCAGAGGCTCCTTCCGAAAGCGTCATGCTAAAATCACTATCGATTCTTTCTAGACTATTTTAGAAAGGACGTATGTGCCAATATAGCTACTCTGTGCATACAGATGCTTCTTTGTTTATCCAAGAAATATGGCAGTCCCTAAGTGGAGAATTCAGTCCAACTGTGATTCTTTTTTGCATGAAGTTATCCAATTATTGCGCTTTCAGGACGGATAATGTAAACAGATCAATTGGTAATTTTTACGAATTAACCGGGTTTTCGACGGAACTTCGGCAAGGGGGTCGCGGAAATGCGCGGTGTGTGTGGCGGAGGCACGCATCACGCACGGGAGACGAAAAGTGAGGAGCGGTGCCGGTCCAGGAAGTGAAAGTGTCATCTTCGGAGCGGTTATCAAACGGATAAACGGGCCGGCATAATTGGCGCCGGGGATTTTTTCCCGCCTCCAACTTCGCCTCCGTTGCAGAGTATCAGTTTTTTATTTCCGATCGTGATCGCGCCTCGATTTCCGCCCAAAACGCCGCGCCGCACAGTGGATCGAGTCAATGGAAGAAGTCGGACATGAAATTTTTGACAAAAATTGTGAAATTTTACGTTTATCTCATCACAATTTTAACTTTAAGGGGTGCTCTTGATAGAAAATTTCACTTAAAAACCAATGAAACCAATTTCAGAACCTCAAAGCTCCGTATAACCAGAGTTATAAGCTTTTAAAATTTCCAAATTTTGTCCGACTTCTTCTATTGACTCGATCCACAGTGCGCCGTTCAGTGGATCGAGTCAATGAGAGAGGTCTGACAAATTTTAAACGCTTCACTGGAAAAGAACACATTGGATCCGGAGTCCAGACTCTTGAAAACATTGACAAGAAAAAATACTCTTGATTCAATCAGATTTTTGCTCAAATCGAAGGGAAATCCGCTCAAATTAAGAGGCTTGGTTCATGATTTCAGTAAAAATCCGATTGAATCAAGAGTATCTTCTCTTGTCGGTGTTTTTAAGAGTCTGGAGTCAAGATCCGATGTGTTTTTTTCCAGTGTTATAACTCTGTTTATGCAAAACTTTGAGGTTCTAAAAGTGGTTCCATTGGTTTCCTCGAAAGATTTTTTTCTGCAACCGCCCTTTAAAGTTAAAATGTGACGGAATAAACATCAGAATTTGCAGTTTTAGTAAAAAATTGTACGTCCGACCTCTATGATTGACTCGATCCACTGTGCGCTGCGCCGGCACGACTCCAGAAAACGGACCATACCCGTCCGCCGAGGATGAGAACCCGACACGAGGCGATGAATCCGTGAGAACCATTTACATCCCCTGTAATATTGTATTCCTACACAAATAAGGAATTAGGATTTTGATAAGCTTTTTCATTATTAATCTCTTGTGGCGGTTGATAAATTTGGTTGACTTATTTCCATTTGTTTGTTTACGATTAGGATCAATGAAATTGAATTCATTTACAGACCGGGTTGGAGCAGAAACAACCTAACTGGTAATGCTAAACAAATAAAAATTTAGGATTTTTATGGAGACTTTTTCATTTTTAACCTTTTGTGGTGGTTATAATTAACTTGATTGATTTTTCACTTTTCTTTTGTTCATTAAGATCAATAAAATTGACTTCGTTTTTAGAGCGGATTTGACCAGAAGCAACCTAACTACACTTTCACGTTCCTCCCATGTATTCCTAATTTAGGTTTCAAGAGAACGAGGTTTGGCACTTTCAGACATCCCAAGAATTTCCTTTGGGATATCAAAAATACACTTACAATATCGAGGCAAAATAATGCCGGATTTTCTTGTAGAGAGGTATGCCACGGGAGGAACAAAGTTAACATGTGGTGCAGTTACGCTGAAAATCCTGTTAATGCCGTCAAATTTCAACTGAATAAAAATTGGAATAAATTAATTAATACGGCCTTTCAGAAACGACATATTTGCTGAGCATATGAGCATCGTGAGATAACAAGAAATTATTGACTTAAGATATTCTACATCTAAAGACGTGTTCAGGAAGAACTTTTTACTTGAGGATGTTCGGAGATCACGAACATTTTTTCAGTGGAAAAACGTCATATTTTTAAATAAATGGCAAATCGGATCAATTTAACGGTTGTTTATTTGAATTGACTAATTTTACACTAAAACGATCACATGGACTGACTAGAAAGTTTCAAGCGTGGTTTCCGTAGCTTGGGGCGGCGTGGTAGGCGGGTGCCGGACCAGCTTGGTAGGCGGAAGCCAAAGCTGCGTGGTAGGCGGGTGCCGGAGCTGCATGGTAGGCGGGTGCCGGAGCGACGTGGAGGGGGGCAGCATGGACAGGGGCTGGGGCAACAACTGGGTGGTGGCCGGGTTCCTTATGTACGGTGGCCTCGAAACCGTGGCCGTTGTCGGCGTAGTGGACGGTCCTGGTGCTTCCGTCGGGTTCGCCTACGGAGTAGAAGCCGCTGACGTGGTGACCGTTGCGGGATTCGGCCTGGGTCTTGGAGTCTCCGGTGTGTGGATCGTGGACGCTGTATTCGAATTTGTAGGCGGGGTGCGCGTCAGGGTACGATTCGTGGCCGTAACTCGCGGGGGCGGCCACCGCAGCGTGGCCGTAAGCCAAGGGGGATGCAGCACCGTGGCCGTAAGCTCCGGCTCCGTAACCAGCACCGGCTAGAGCTGCTCCATTTGTGTAGGCTGGGCCGGCGTAGCCGCAGCTGGCTACGGTTGCGAGGGCAGCTAAGATGACGAACTGTAACAAAAGTAGTGAACGTTAGGTTTGTGTTTCTGGTTTTTTTGTTTGAGTTGGACTAACTCTAGTAAAAGAGCGGTACTCGAGAACGGTGAATTTGAAAATGCGTGATATTGAGCGCGCTTTTGCATAAATGGGTGGATTTGGGCCGTTTCCGATATACTCGGCGTTTTTTTCGGGCAATTTTACCACGGGTAATCTACTTCGTTGAATGGGCTCTCAGTGTGCAACAATCCCACTGAAAGCAATGCAATTGAAATATGCAGAAAGAGCTGCCAAAAAAATTTCGAGTAAATGTGGTCTTGGCCTGCACCGTAAAATTCCGGGCTTGGAGATGAGAAACTCTCACGCAGATATTGGCATTACTATAAAAGGGGTGTTTTACAGACAGATGGGCGTAAAAGCACCCAAAATAGTCATAAGCAATCAGAGCTGTGAACATCCAAAGTTCAGAGCTCAATGAACGTAATTTTGGGGGAAACTTTTTAAAAATCTTTAACGTTCCGGGCAGCAAATCATCCAATTCAACCGCAATTTCTGCAATATAGAAAAAGAACTAAAACGCTTGAAACAAATTTTTAAAGACAGCACGGGGAGATACGTCGAATGAAGGATATTCGTCGATTAAAACTCAAATTCCTTGTCACGAGGAACGTGTTTTGTATTGAATTTTTGATTAATACTATTTACGGGTGACAGCAGTGATAAAACTATTTAGGGGTAAGAGAATAGACTATTCATTAAGTAGTCCTGACTAGGTGGTTCCTTTCTGTTCATTGGAAGACAAACTTTAGATAAAATCACAGATGGAATCAAGTGATAATCGAAAGGTTTGTATGTGATTGCCTCATACTGAAGTTTGATTCTTGGATAGTAAAACGTGATTTGGACTATTACTTCAAGAGAGCTCTGACGAGAAACCAACTAGCACAGTGGCGTGGCGTGCTTTGCGATGTATCGATTGTTATGCCATTTAAACCTATGGAAAAGGATCGATAAACAGGGTGTTCGCAGCAAACACCTTAATAATCGATTCTTTACCATAGGTTTAAATGGCATAACAATCGATATATCGCAAAGCACGCTACGCCACTGAACTAGCAGATTCTTTGCTTTTCAAAACACTTAAAAACTGTTATACAGAAAAGTAACCAATTGCGAAGTGTCTGAAATAACTCGGTCTTGGGATGCATGGATTTCATGTAAGAGGTAGATAATCAGGACTTTAGAGAACGATTGATTCCCAGTCGAACAACTTACAGTATCAAATTTTAAGACAATTTTTCAAAAATCTCTACCGCCTTGTAGTCCGTCACGTATTTTTACCCGAGATTTGACGAAGAAATGAAATGAAATACTTCAAAATCTATGTGTTTCAGTAACTTCAGTGAAGGACTTCAGTGAGATGTTGCATTCGAGGATTTTGGAAAAAAGGCTCTAAAATCCAGAGACTACGAACTGATCGATTTTTTCTCCAAAGATCTACAGAATAACTTTTTCGTTCAAACTTAAACCGTTCGAGGGATACATTTCAGATACGCTTACCTTGAAAGCCATTCTGATGGATTGGAGCTGATGGAGGCTGTACTGAAGCACGGAGTTAACTGATGAAGATAGGGGGAATCACCGAGACTTTTATACCCGAAATTTAGACTAGTGAAAGACACTATCAAATTAAGCGGGAAGGATTAGAGTTGCAGGCCGAATTTCAGCAATGGGCGTGAAAGGAATTCAAGTCGGAGTCAATTCGCGTGTAGACTGCATCCTGTTGGCCATGATGCACGTAGGTATTATCCAAAATGGACCGCGGGCGGGTGAGAAATAAAGCACAAAAGTACTCATTAAAAGTTTCATTAAAAATTCATGAGAATGCGCTATGCACACATCGTAAGTTGCAAAATTCAATTCATAAACGAGAAATGGGCGTTTTCTATGCTCTTCAATTGCACCTCTCCGCATTTGCAAAAGGCCGAGGTCCTTTTCGCCGGATTCGGGTACTCACTGGAAACAAAAACACACTGGATCTAGAAACCAAACTCTTGAAAACATCGACAAGAAAAAATACTCTTGATTCAATCAGATTTAAGCTTACATTAAGAACCAAGCATCTTAATTTGAGCGGATTTCATTTTGCTTTAAGGTTAAATCTGATTGAATCATGAGTCCTTTTTCTTGTCCATGTTTTGAAGAGTCTGGACTCTAGATTCAATGTGATTTTTTTCCAGTTTAGACTAATTTCATGCACGGTGAAATCATTTTCTTTGAGTGCTGATTTTCTTCGACAAGTTTGGAGATACCGTGTACGAAATAAGGATGTATCAAGTATATATTTGCCAAACATATGAGCTAGTTTTCACCAATCAATTTAGAAGCCGTCCATGAGTAACAGCGGGTTTTCCCTCGATTTGTTGCCCTCCCCTCATCCATGCCAGGCAGCACTAAGCCCCCTTTGAAATTAATTTGTTTTTCTGTCAACCCGCTCACCACACCACATTACTTAAGGAAAATCGGCCGTTTTAAATTGGAATTTCCAAAAAAAAAGAAAAAAAAATTGAAGCAACTCATGGATTTCCACTTGACAGCAGGTTCGATTACCCACAAGGAGGGGCAATTTAGGCACCCTTTGTCCTCGCTACCTCCTTAAACCATTACATCATGTATGAACGTATATTTTATCTACGACACTAGCAGTTTTAGCAGTACTTTTAACAGTTTGAAATAACTGACGCTATTTTAAATTATTAACATTATTTCAATATTTAAAGGTAATTTAGGACCGTTTGAGTACAATTTCTTGGCTTGTTATGCTTGAGATTTCTATGAGAGACCTTTAGATCGCAGGTGTTATGAATTTGGTACCTTTAAATCCCCATTGCTATGAATATTACCCTCTTTGCAATGATAAATTACAACATTGACGCGTGACGTCATGAGAATTGAGAGGTTATCTTGCACTGGATATAAAAAGCGAAACAGCCATTGACTGCTATTCCAACAGATAATCATTTGCCATGACACCGCAAGAAAATCAACAAGTAATCGATTTATGCTCTGGTTGATAGCAAAATTGAAAAGTGACGCTATACATCACTTAGTTAAAGTGAAAAAACATACCCACTCTGAAAAATTAGAATGTTTAAGAGGAACAAAAAACTGCTCAGTATATGAGAAAGTTAGTCTAAGGAAAAACTTTTTGGTGCCAAAAGCAAGCATTCAAGACACTTTAAAGTTCAGTGTTGAAATAAATGCGTCATCTTTAATGACCAATATGAAAATCGGGCATGAATTTATACATATTTGGTGTGTTTTCATTCTCACTGATTTAAATATAGTAAAGAAGTCCTAAGAAGAAGTAATTCTACTGGTACTGTTTATAGTCTTTATTACGAGGGCCTTTACTGATGGGGTCTCAGTATTATTCGGATCCCAGTCAAAAAGATACTATACGAAACTTACCTAAAATGATGCCACAACTTATAAATTCCACTCTCATTAAAAACAGCAAGCAAGTAAAGGATCCCAAGGCGCTTCAGAAAAATTTATCTCAAATATTTCATATCCTTCTTGTTACCGTATTAACATCAGATGAGTAGACGCTCTGGGCGCGATCACTGGAACAAGAAGCGCCTTCAACATCGGTGAACGGCCAACAGCTGTACAGCAAATCCATGCAATCACTGTGCCTTCTTAGTCCTACAATGGCACCGAAAAACGAATTATTTAGCCTCAACCTCTTAATGTTTGTACGTGTCCCAGAAGACCTCGTAAGGTTAACATGTGAGGAGGCTTGAAGAGGCTTTTAACATACCATCATATAATGTACGATTTGTTTTGAAGCTTTGAGTAAAATTCAACAGTGTGTGACGGTAATAGATACTTTAAAAAGATAGGAATAGTTTTTCATTAACGAAGCAATATTTCAATCTTGAAAAGGTTACGGTAGTTGAAGTTTGCCCCAACCATGAAATTTTTTTCGTTGGTATTCGTTCATTTTTGATAGTAAACAAATTATCATGACATCGTTGCTATGAGTTATGGTGTTGATTCTTATTCCAAGCTGAAAGAAAGTTGCACTCTAAATGATGGTATGTATGGTAAGCCTCCTTTAACTTTCCTTCGCTATATGTAGAGTAAATCATAGTTGATCAAAGGTCTTCCTAGCTAAAATTGTTGTTTTAAAAAAGAGCACGATTACGACCCATACTTGCTTTTAGGTTCACGGTCCAGATAAACGTTGCTTCTGTCATGCAGTTCTCTGTCATTCTCGAACTCAGAAGCGCTGTTGAATCAGTATGCAATCAGGAAAACATCCAAGCATCGCATTCAACACTTTCCTCCTCCGAAATGTTATGCAGAAATAAATTCACTTTAGTAAAATAAGCGGAAATAAAAAACTTGGCAAAACCGCATTTGTGTTCACGATCAACACTATCATTCCAACCAATAGTCATCTATACTCTGTACATTCATCACAGATCCATCATTAAGTGGTCACACATTTTGAGAGGAAACGGGCTTCTGTGTTCAGATTTAATTCCTGTAAATTGGAGCCTGGGGAAAAGTAATAAGTTGTGATAAATGGAATGTGAGAACAGCAAGATGAGGTTATGAAATTATTCCCTTTAAAATGCTGCATAATGTACATACTGCTCATATCTTCGTGGATGGCACTCGCGAACGATTTAGAGTCGTTCCGAAGGCAATGAGGAATAAGGCAGGAACCTTCGAAAAAATTGTAGGTTTGCCATGACACGTAAAAGTAAGTGGCAATGTGCTTCTTAGGAAGATCAAAATAAGCCATAAGCCTTTTTGTCTGTTTTGAGCCTAACTCATTTAAGTCAGCCTATTTTCAAATTCGTAATATATTCTCATTTTCTCCCGACTTCGACAGTAGAGAATAAGCAACTACTGAAGGGGGTCGTCCATCGTTGACCGGTTTTCGACTTTTTACCACCCCCCTTCCCGCCCCCAACTTCAGAGACATGTTGGACAGCGTCGAAACCTCTCCCCCTACCCCCTTAAAAGTACGTCGCTTTGAGTCAACCCTCCCCGTTGAATTACTCCGTTCTCGATCGGGATATTCTTAAAAATTGGAACCTTTTGCCGCTTTTAGCCTGCGTAAGGTTTGGCTAGAACGCCCTTCCTTACTGAATCCTCACCCCTACACTGGAAAAAAAAAACACATTGGATCTAGAGTGCAGACCCTTAAAAACATCGAAAAGAAAGTGTACTCTTGATTCAATCAGAATCTAGCTTAAATCAAGAACCAAGCCTCTTAATTTAAGCGGATTTCGTTTTGATTCAAGCAAAAATCCGATTGAATCAAGAGTATTTTTTCCTGTCAGTGTTTTCAAGAGTATGGACTCTAGATCCAAAGTGTTTTTTTTTTTTTTTTTTTTAAGTGTAGGACCCTGAAGTCACTTCATGGACGTCTCCACATCTCTAAACTACTCCTGACGGTGGCGTGGCGTGATTTTTTATACATTGATTGATCTGCTATTTAAACGTATGGAAAAGGATCGATATATAGTGTGCTCGCAATGAACACCTCAATAATCGATTCTTTACCATACACTGGAAAAAAAAAAACTAATTGGATCGAAACCAGACTCTTGAAAACATTGACAAGAAAAAGGACTCATGATTCAATCAGATTTAAGCTTAAATCAAAAGGAAATCCGCTCAAATTAAGAGGCTTGGTTCTTGATTTAAGCTTAAATCTGATTGAATCAAGAGTATTTGTTCTTGTCGATGTTTATAAGAGTCTGGACTCTAGATCCAATGTGTTTTTTCCCCAGTGTAGCTTCAAATGGAAAAATATCGATAATCGATAATTCTCGCCTCGCCACTGACTCCGGGCTCATATTTCTCTAGGTGTCACTTGTTTCGTCTCTGTTGAATTGACTGCGTAACGCACAGGTTGCTGGCGCTAGGCGGGCGCCGTTTTACGGTTAACGGCTTACGACTGGGAACTATGACGTCTGGCTCATTCACGACGGCGGGCGGTTGGCGGAGGGCGGACCAGAGGGCGCCACAGGTCGAAGATCATGGCCACGTCTGCATTTGTTGCATCCGCGACAACAGCAGTTACACCGCCGCGACCGCCGCGCTACGCCGCCGACCGACCGCGTGACTTGCGCACCCCGCCGCCACCGTGACGTCATTCGACTGCGAGAGAGAGCCAAAAATCAATGGCCGCGAGAGAGACGGCAGACCTGCCCTCCCTGCCAAATTTAAACCAAATTTAGGGGTGTTTTTCCGGGTTTCCACGCTCTGTTGAGTGATGGGGGTTCGGACCCTTGTTGGACTACCCACTGCGCCGTCCTTTACGAATGAAGGGAAGGGAGGACGGTAAGGGATTCGTCCGATACTCTGCCCTGTTGAGAAAGAGCAAAGAATATAGAGAAACATTACGGTAGTCTTTTTACTTTAAAATCTCACTCTACGCATTTTAAATGTTAAAATTAAGCAAGCGTTATGAAAAAATATCCCTTCTAGATTCAGATGTTGAGCAAAAATAGATATTTACCTAAGTGTACTTAAAAATCTACTTCTGAGTATACGTACCTGAAGTAATTGTAAAAATGTAAGCAAACGCAACTCCGTATAACGAGACGTATTCATCACTGACAGCAGAGTGTTGTTAGCCTTCAGTTTGACTGGTCAGGCAAAAATAGATCTCAGGCGTTCGAATAGTTGTATGCTCAGTGTTTAGGAGTAATACCCTTTCAAATAGAGATTTGACTTCAAGGAAAACTTTTCCGCAATGTTTACGAATTGTACAATCCGAAATGGGTTTGGTTTGTTTCCGGTGCGTTGAAGAAAAGCGCTTCAGAATATAATCTTATTCTTTTCTTTACTGCTTCCTTATTTTTGGGCGTGCATAGGTTCCGTGTTTGACCCCATTGTTTGTCAGTGTTGTGATTGAGGTTCTCCATTTACTTAATACGACACAATGGTGATGGACGCCAAAAAAACCACGTGTTTCTGATTACATTTCATCTTTTCGTAAGAAAATTAGCGAGCATTGTTGCTTGGACTTTGTACAACTAAGTTCTTCCTTGTACACATAATGATTGGTGAAAATTTAAGACCATCAATTTTATTAGTCTCTCTATAAAAAGTTGAAACAACAACGAAGAGTTCATAATCTCACAATCGAATTATGCTCTTTTATAGATTTTCACCGTTCGCACGCTCTTTACTGGGTTGTTTTTCGTCACGCGACTGCAAAATTCTATGACGCTTCAAAGCTTTGAACAATCCAGGATCTAATATGAAGCCCATGAAGTCATCGATGAATACGCGTTTGCGATTAATACCCAGGAAAGGTGGTTTAAAAAGATTTGCTAACTTGAAGAAATAAAATTTATTTTAAGGAATTTTCAAGGGAGATTTTTCTTCTTGTTTTTCTTTTTTTTGCAAAAGAACATCTCTTACGTAGAGTTCACGCTAAATATGTAACAATATGTTCTTCAACTTTGAAATGCTGGGGGCCGTTCAAAAATATTTGGCCCTAGTTGTCGGATTTTTATAGCCGTTTATCCCTGGACCCCTCGTAAATTTTTCGAGACGTAGGATGTAAAAAAAACATGCCGTAACGTTCTCCTCAACCCTATTCCTCTCCTGATCCTCCTTAATCGTCCCAAAATTCTGTTCAAATTGACTCTCCTAAATTAAAAAATTAATAAAAGACAAATGAAAAAAAATGGCCGCAGATGCAGGGTCCAATAAATGAATGAAGCCAAATCCGTGCTGTGATAATACTTCCTGTTATAAAAATTGTAAAAGCATTCTTGAAGAAGATAGGAAAATAATTTTTGATGAATACCACGGTCTCAAAGACTATAACTCAAAGAAGAATCGGTTGTTAAGTTGTATGAAGCAGGTCCCTGTGAAAAGGCATAGAAAGAAGGCACTCATTTTGTGAACGGCTCCTTATCCAAATACTTCCTGTTATAAAAATTGTAAAAGCATTCTTAAAGAAGATAGGAAAATAATTTTTGTTGAATACCATGCACGGTCTCAAAGACCATAACTCAAAGAAGAATCGGTTGTTAAGTTGTGTGAAGCAGGTCCCTGTGAAAAGGCATAGAAAGAAGGCACTCATTTGGTGAACGGCTCCTTATCAGCTGCATTTTTTTAAATCATTAGACATCCCCCTTTGTTTTAGATTAAACACAAAGCAGTTTTTAAACCATTTTTCAGTATAATGTAAAATGAACTCTGAACGGCCGCGACTTAAACCGAGCATCGACCCCGCTCACCGGAGCTCATCAAGACGGGAACTCGGTGGATGACGTCACGGGAACCCCGCGGACGGTGGGAACGTGGCAACCGGGCGCGGCGGCTGGCGGGTGGGCGGGCGGCGAGACCGGCGCTCGGCTTATCGCGGAACGGGCGCGCGTTCAGTGTTGCCTAGGCGGCCAGGCGCTCGCCACGAACCCGAGATGCTCCCGGGCCGCGTTCCCAGTGCCAGCCCAGTTTCCCCAAGCCGATGATCAACGAAACCGAGAACGGAAACGCGAAACGGCCCCTCGTAAACCGCCCGTCTGTGCCCGTGCGTCCAGGATGTAGCCCAGCCCGAGAGCCCATGAGACGACCCTGTGAGTACTCCCCGCTGCCGGGGGAATTTTCCGCTTCCTTTCCTCCCGACTCGTCATTTTCTCCACGAAGGAGACTAACTCCATTCCGATATTCCAAAATCCATTCAAATAAACCGATTTTTTACAGGACCATGAGCGTGAATATCCAGAGCCAGGAATTTGACTCATTTTCGAAATTGCAAAATCGACTGGAAAAAAACCAAATTTTCACAAAAATTCGAATGTGCGATTCGAATTCAAAATATTGATATTTTCTGCGTCTTATCTGAAGTAAAATCACGGACATTTTCAGTTAGAAATACTCGACTGTTTCCTTGTAAAAATTCAGTCAGCGCGGGGAAATTTGGCGGCAGCGAAACGTTGTTTCGTTCATTTCCATGGGAAACGATGGCATATAGGAGCCCGAATTTTTGTGACACGGACGAGAAAACGTTATTCCATCCCGAGATTACAAAAACGTCTCAAATCCAAGCTTTTACGATCGTATAAGATTCCAATATCCGTTCAAAATTTTGAGAAATGTTGCGTGTAATCTGAAGAAAATCAGTGAAATTTTACAATTTGAGGCACCCAGCGGTGCCTTGGTAAAACTGCAATTTGTGAGTGGAAATTTTGCAACATTGGAATGTAGTTACGTTTTTTTGACAGAAAAAGACGAACTCTTTTCGAACTACCGACAGAACTAATAGTGAATCCTGGTCATTATGGAAAACTCCGCATGGTGGAAAATCGTCCTCATCAAAGATGTCTAGAATTCTTGATTTATTTCAATTTTTAACACTTCCGAGGATAAATTTCCTTATGAAACTTAGGGTTCCCTCTCGTTCGTCTTCAGGTTATCTATAAAATTCAGATTTGCTCTGCTCGCGAAAAGTTAATAGATTTCTCCACGATTTCTCCGATTCTTCGTAAACCATATAATATCTCATATAATTATTTTTAGATATCCCCTAGATTCTCACTGTTTTTATCGGTATTTTCACAACCGCTCAAATACCATTAGGGCACTGATAATGCCGATTATTTCAAAACATATTACAATGAGAAAAATATCAGCAGAACTCTCTTGTAGATGCTCTGGGAATACAAATTCTCCGACTTTTCCGGATCTTTACCATTCGTTGATGGATTATGGTTTTTCCAAGTCCTAGAACTTTCCATGGATCTACAACGAAACTCGATAAAATTGTGACCGGATTTTTAAATAAGGATATTATCTTCCGGGATAAATTGTCCTCAAATTTTGGCAAATACATGGAGGGCAAAAAATCTGGAAATTTTGGCTCAAGATTGAAACTGAGTGCTCAAAATTTTGAAGGAGATATGATTCTTTAAGTTTTAAGGAAAAAATTCTTAGGTTATAGAAAAACGTAATTTGAATTTTTAAAAATACCTGAAGAATTTTCTACCCGGAGACAATGTACCTTTTCATAGATCCGGTCACTATTTCCGCCTTGCTAAATACTAAAATTTGCCTTTAACAAAGGCGAAAAATCTCCGTTATGGCCAGGTTTCATTGTGATTCAACTATTTTAGAATTTTAGAAAGCTTTTCATGGCTTTAAATGTACGTTAAAGATGTTCTGAGTGCGAGATATTCTGATTGGCGTGAAGCGACTGTAACTGTATCCATTCAAGCCAGCTATGTCAAGCGGAGACACGGCCCATGCCTGCGTGACATTTGTTGAGCTACAGCTGATCCCGCTGAGCGCCACCCGGTTCAGGTTTATTGCCCCGCGACCCACTGCATGCCGTCCATTCCGTGTTTACGACCTGTTTTTCGCTATCATTACTCGAGGCTTATCACTCCAAAACATACCCACTATTGTCACAATGGAGACATTTGATTGCGTTGAGACATCATGTTTTCAGTACAGCAAAAAAGCATGCGTAGATCTTGCAATACTCAGGGGCCATTTACGAACTACGTAACGCTATAAGTAGGAATTTTCAACCCTCCTCCCTAGTAACGCTTTTGTGACGGAGGCCCAACCCATTGACACGTAAAATCATGGCGTAACGCTCTATTCTCGACGCCTTCCTCCCCCGTTAGGCGTTACGTGCAGTGGCGTGGCGTGCTTTGCGATACATCGATTGATGTGTCTTTCAAACCTATGGAAAAGGATCGATTAACAGGGTGTTCGCAGCGAATACCTTACTAATCGATCTTTAACTGTACGTTCATCAAATGGAGGAATATCGAGAATCGATCATTCACGCCTCGCCACTAGTTACGTGTTCGATGAGCGGCCTCTCACCACTGATTTTAAGCCCGAATTATTGGTCTCAGATACAATGTTACTTTTGATGTAACATGAATAGCTTGTTTCGTAAATTGCCCAACTTAGGAAACGTTAACATATTTAGAAAGCAGAAATGAGGATTGCCGTCGAATTTAGAGAATGATATGCCCTGATTTTTCTGTCACACATCTTGGTAAAATTCCCTGGTGATTGAGGATAAGCCAGATGCTTAGAAAAGCCAAGATTTGAAATAGTTTTCAGGCAAAATTTGTTTTTCGAAACGCCAAACCCATTCATGAAAGGAAATAAAGGTGACATGATAAATTTCCCTGATTAGTTGAAATTCCCTGTCATTTCTCCGTTTTACCTGACAGTGGCAACCCTGAGAAATGCTCAATTTAGCCGAAAATATTTTTTGCGTATGTTATATTCAGTTCCCAAGAGAAGCCACGGCGCGAGAAATACGACACTTTTCTATCAAATGAATACAATTTGAATATGTATGAACCTTGAAGTTTGGCACAGTGCGGAATCAAAAATGATCCATGCCTAGCGTTTCAATTTAATAAATTGAAAAAATATGTGAGTTGGAAGTATACGGCTTCATAACACGTTTCTGGCAATAAAACGGAGTAATAATTTTTCTGGGTTGGGCAATTTTCGAATCAATACATTTAATTATATAGACTTGTGGGCAAGACCGGGATAAAATCGGGCGTTTTAGACGAGAAAAAGGACACCTTTTGGGTGAGGAAAAGAGGGCATTCTGGGCGACACGGAAAGTGAACTTTGAAAGCGAGAATCAAAATTTATGAATGTCTTTTGGGTGCAGATATATAAACTGCATTTAATGCGGTTGTAAATTACCCCGTTATTTAATCGATGCTCCAGTATGCTCAAAGCTCGAGGTGGGAGTGTTCAAGATGTTGGGTTAAGGTAGCGCATATAATTTATTCATTTACTCGTTTCTGAATTTGTACTTGTGCTATAAAAATTAATTCCATTGAATAAGACGGAATCATATTTGGGAACTACGAAGTCAACAGCCGATATTTTGACACCCGGGAAATTTATTTACGACGGATTCATGTGTCGTACTCTCAAACTCTGCATTAAAAAAAGGAATGTTGCATTCAGTACCGCTTAACTGCAAGCTGCTTCTGTGGGCGAGTCCAAAATACGCGCATAGCAGCCTCCGCATTCTCGCGGGCGAGGAAACAAAATACAACCCGCGCAAGGAGATTTTTTAAATAGCTATGCATCACATACGTTTACTAAAAAGGCATTAATATGACCTTTCCCTCGCCCAAATGCACCACATGTATACAGTCGCGCCTGGGGCTTTTTTCAAAATTGGCTCGCCCAAATAAAGTTGTGGAATTTTGGGTTTTTGCGTTTGGCCCAGATATTCCAGACCAAATTTTCATCAAAAACCAAAGTCTGTCATCGGTGTCAAACTCGCTCCTAATGTAAACAAACGAACGGCGACATAGTCCGGACATAAACAAAGCGGACACTCAGAGCGGACTTCCTCGAGATGTTCCAGACTCAATTTCTCAGCGTTAGCGTTTCTTCACCTCGACAAAAGAACTTTCGTCCGCGTCTAACATTTATCCTTTTCGTAAAATCAAATATCAGTCACCCCGTTGATCTGTTCATGGTGATTTCAAGTGAAATTGCGGCGAGATACTCCGGACTCCTAATGTAAACAAAGCGGCCTGTACCNGATTGCCGAGCATGGCCGAAGGCCTACTCGCCGCTTGGTAGGTGTTGACGGCGGTTTGACAAACAGCAGTTTTTGGTGAAATGTGGTCCGGAATATCTGGGCCAATCTGTTCACTCGGAATTTTGTGTTACCACTTGTAACCCTTAAATAAAAAAATCTGATGTTTTTCGAGACACTTCTTTCTCCTCTCTACCTTCTCCCTAACTTTCCGAGGATCTTGGGCATTGAAATACTTTTTGGGACCCACTCAGCTCAATATTTAAGCTTTGGGAATAAACACAAGGATGCGATTAGAGCTTCTCAAAAAATTGATAGGATAAGAAAATCTGAGCATTTTCCCTTTATTTTTTAGTGTGTGAAGCAAAATCTGGTTAATTCAGAGTTTTTTCACAAAAAGCCTACCTACCGGGCGATCTGCAGAGCATAATAAAGCCAAGTCAAAAGGCCAAGTTAAAAATGTTTTTGATTTAATATACTAGTTGACATGAGTTCTGAACTCAACAAGACTGCAAAATTCTTCGGCAAATACTGTGATCTCTGAGTTCGAGATTTCAGAAAACAATTGACTGACTTTTCTTTTACAGAAAGAAATAATGATCATTTTCAGTACCTATATATTTCTAGCTGATTTATTTCAGCCGGAGGTATTTAAAGTATGAGAGCGATTCTCCGCAAAATATTCGAATTTACAAGGTGTCAAAGGTTGTCAACACGAATAACTCACTTTTGACGATACTTATTAGCATACTCTGCAGACACGTTTCTAGCTAGCAATAGCACCCATGACGGGCCGCTAGCCTAAAACGCGTCTACAAATGATCAAGACAAATAAGTTTATACATATCTTCTTATAAATTCAGATTGCGAATCGACGCACGAGTTCATTAGATGGAGTGCTAAGTGATTTCGCCAACGTGCGAGCCAAGTCAATCTAAAACTGTGGAGAAAAGGCTCATCCGGCTCCGAGTATAAATTTTCTCGCGAAAGTTACGCTGCTTCGTGTAACACTAGTTATGATAAAGCAGGGAGGTA